TGGAGGTCAAATTGATGTCTCAAACTGATATGTCCATATCCTCTCCTCACCCTCAGTATTCCTCATTCCAGTAAACAGCACCACCCTAGCATCCTAATGGGAATTAGGGCCTATGACCTCGTCGTAGAGAAAACTTGGAAGGCCACAAGTGACTTTTTATGACTTGCTATGGCGATATATCAAGCTGATTTTCATCTGAAGTTTTCTGGTAAAACCTAAGGTGACAGAGTAGCCTACAGCAGAGGAGTGTATGAATTCCCTCCTAAAATAACAATGGGAGAGATTTTCTTACGTTTATCCTCCTTTTACGTGTATGTGAGGAGAATCTCAAAGGTGCTGTGAAGAGAATAACATGCTTCAGTGCGTGTTTTAAAAAACCAAATGTCAGGGCTGGCCCCGTGGCTGAGTGATTAAGTTCGCGCACTCCGCTGCAGGCGGCCCAGTGTTTCGTTGGTCTGAATCCTGGGCGCGGACATGGCACTGCTCATCAAACCAAGCTGAGGCAGCGGCCCACATGCCACAGCTAGAAGGACCCACAATGAAGAATATACAACTATGTACCTGGAGGCTTTAGGGAGAAAAAGGAAGAAATAAAATCTTAAAACAAACAAACAAACAAAAAAAACCAAATGTCTCCTTCTTTTCTAAAAATGATTTTTCTGCCAGTCCTCAAAAGCAAATGTGAAATGTACTTCAAAGTGGTTGGTCCACCAACACCCAAAAGAACCATAAGAACATTGTAAACTGCTGGGATGGGCATCAGCACCAACTCAGGCCACAAGAGCAATAGCAGCAAATATCACTGATTATGACTACTCTCATTTGACAGAGGGAGAAGTGGTGCAGTGTCTTCTCCCAACTTGAGCATCCACACATGGCAGAGCCGGCCTTTGCACTAAGGCCTGATGACCCCAGGGACGTGGCTCCAGGCCACTCCGCAGCACCGTCGCCTACTCAAGTCATATTCTCTTTGGTTCTCCTTTGAGTTGCTTTGACTCACACTTATTTAATCAATTTTTACTTCTCAATTCCTTTGGGGAAACAGCAGAAAATTGCTATTTCTCCTGTACTGTTTTATTATATTTCTAATCCCTTTACAAGGATTTGACCAGTTATAAGAAAGTGGAAAGTTACAAAGAAATAAACCTCAGATGGATGCCATGTAACACGTACACTTCAAGTTATTTGTTCTACTTTTCCTAAAACAAAACAAAAGCAAAAAAAAAAAAGGGGAATAATAAACGCCTAATAGAATATAGTGGTTTAAAGGATTTAAAGTCATGCCAAACTGAGATGTTCTCTCTGCTATTTCTTACAGAAATTTCTAGTTGAACACAGCAGGAACATGGAACGCATATCTCCTTACTTATGGTGCGGGGGCATTTCTGAGGACTCATTCATGACTCAGTGGTGGCCTGATGACATTTCCATCTGAGGACATGGTGGAGCATTAGATGAAAGAGCATAAATTAGCATTTGGGGTTCAGTCGAGTGGGTGGGTGAGGAAAGAGTTGAATTACATCAAATTGCTAGTTGTTTAGGTTTTTTTTCACTGAATTCAACCATCTATGAGGTTTACTTCTCTAAATCTGTCCCTGTGCAAAGTCACAGCCATATTCAGAAATCAAATCCATTTTTCATTTTGAGGCTCTTGGTTCCTGATTCATCTCAGTCTGCAGACCCTGGCGGGCCTCCACGTACACGCACGGGCCGTGGTGCAAATGTTGCTTAGTAAATTAGATGTTTCAGGTGCCAAACACGTTTTCCCCATACAAATCATGTTACAGATGGTGGTCACTCATCCAGTCCAGATAGCAATGCCTGTATGTACACAAGGCAGGTGAATGATGATATTAAGAGACATAGATGCAAAACTCGCTTTCCAGCACTGTTTCCACAGTAAAGGAGAGCTGTTACAGGAGACCGCGTGGAGGCCCTGCTGCTCCCTGTGCCGGCGCTCCAGGCCAGCGGGAGCTTTACAGATGGAGCCCGCATTCTCCTCTGTGATTTCTCAACTAGGGGATGAGCTTGTCCAGAGGGGCAGCAGCTCCGGCAGATTGATGCTCACCCCAGAGTGGAGCAGGACCAGGCCAGTGGGGGCAGAGATGCTGCGGTGTGTGGCTGCTCATTCAGGCAGGCTGCTCGTCAGCCGGTGATGGCAGGGTAGAGGCCCCCTCCTGACTTGGTAGGAGGACTGAGGAGGAGGTGATGCGGGATACCACAGGCGACCAGCAGTCCCCGACCCCACATAATTTCAACGAATGACAAACAGATTAATTCAACTCTAAATGTTATTCAGAAGGTAACAAGAATCCTGAATAAGAAAATGTAACATAAACATTCACTCCTGGAAGCATGTAGCTTTAAGAATAAAGAAACATCAACATCTGGTGAACTTCCAAAGCATTATGGATGTTTCCTTTCACTGGCAGTCAGAAGGTGAGCCAGGATGTATATATTTTGCCATCTCTTGCATTAAGACAGGACATCCACTTCCGCTCCTAACTGACTTGTTTAGCATTCAGTTTTCTCCTTACTCTGATTTCAAACTATTACAAACAAACAAAAAGAGCTAGGCTCCGCCAAACTCGCAAGTCTTTTTGGATGGAAAACACTTAGTGCTCTCTCATTCTCTCAGGAAGCCACAAGCAAACCAGCTCTGACAGTCGACCTTGATAGAAATTTTCTTCCCTCTTTTTGGGTGGGAGGAAGAGGGGGAAATTGATCTACAATAAAATAGGAGCATTTAATTTCATAATTTCCCAGGGTATTCGCTATAGCTGGGGCTTCTCTATTAGTCTGTTCTACCTCTGATGGGAGAAGGAGGAGTCGAGAATAATGGGTTTCTGGCTTAGGTGCTTGGGCAGATAGAGGCGTAAATGAAAATGAGTTCAATATGAGACATATTTAGCTCATGGTGCCTATGGGATATGCAAGCAGTTAAGCAAATCAGAATGAATGGCTGGCACTCAAAAGATACATCTAGCTGGCGTTACTTTGAAAGTCACAAGGATACAAAGTTAAAGTCTGGTGCAGACGTGATTGTCGGGGGGCGGGGGGGGGGGGGAGAGAAAAGGAGAGAGGACAGAACCTTAGGGACACCATCATTTAGAGCAGTGCTTCTCAAACTTGGACATGCAAGTGAGTCACCTGGGGGTCCTCTCAGAACGCAGACTCTGACTCAGAGGGTCAGGAGCAAGACCTGAATTCTGCCTTTCTAGTAAGAGCTCTCAGGTGCTGCTCACACTGCTTCTCCTTGGACCACACTCAGAGTTGTGGGGATTTTGAAGACGGCAAATACAGCAAACCCAAGGAAACGGGCCTGAAGGAGAATTAGAGATGTAAAAAGGCCGGGGAGGTAATGCAGAGACGGGGGCTGTGGAATCCGAGGAGGAGAAGGTTTCAATGAGGATGTGATCATGTGCCGCCAAGAGTCAGACAAATGAGAACTCTGTGTTTGGCAATTGAGAAGCCACGTGATGGCCATTGTAAAGCAGCTGAAGGCCTGAAGCCAGACCTCAGTGGGCTGAAGAATGAGGGAAGTGAAGCTCGTGACTGTGAATTTTCTGTGCCTTTGAGAAGTAAACACTGTCGGTGAGGCCATCATCAGCTTGCAGGTTCCTGAAGGAGACGCAAATGGTCTCCTGTTGGCAAGGTTCCATGTGGCTTTGCAACTGTTGCTTTTAAAGGGCCTTTGCACCTCGAACAAGAACGGTTAAAAGTAGGAAAGCGTTTGTCTTAATGCGCTTCCCAGGTGTCTGGGCCCAGGCTTCAAGCGAAAGAACTGCAATGTATCTATGCAGGTGGCCTGTGGGTCTTGCTCCTAAAATTCTAACTAATCCATGTATACACCCGTGGAAGATGGAGGAAACAATGTAAAAACGACAATAGTTGCATTATTAATGCCATACTACAAGTGACTTTCAAAATTGTCTTAATTAAAAGGAATAATTTATCCACATCCTTCATTTAAAAAGTATTTAACAGATATTTTGGATATATAGTAAAAATCACACAGAAAACCTAAGAACCTCACATGCTTCTCAGCTGCTTGATATGAAACACCGGAAGATTTTTCCTTTCCTTTCCCGAATCCACATGAGAACAGTACGATACTAAGCATGTTCTGTGATGATATATATGGGATCATTTATTTCAGACAGTATAATTTCCTTTCTATATCTAAACATTGCCAAGAACATAAAGTTAAAGATTCTGTTTGAAAAGAATGAATGTTCTGACGATTAATGTGGCTGGCTAACTCACATCACGATTTACTCTTGGAGTCCTTCCATTTCTCGTCCATTCATTAAAACATAATGCATTTCCAATTTTTTCTCACTTAAAAGCTGTATTTAGAAATCAATTAATGAACTAAGCAAAGCTGCAAAATTGTTTTAAAATGCATAAGAAAAACCCTTTGGCACTGTTATATTATCACCAGAACTATTTTTATTCCAACACAAAGGCTAAAATGTTTCAGAATTATATCTCAAGGAAAATTACCTAAGCATTTTCTTAATAATTGGAATACTGGTATTTGTGAATTCATTTATTTGACCACAGATAATTTAATGTGGGTCACTACATATCTCCATCTGCTTTGCTCTGTTAAAACCAAAAGCCTAAAGAGAAACGTGGTCCTAAGAGTCCAAATGCCTTCCAGAAATTGTGTCGAACTGGCTCAGAGTGACTTCGACAGAGAGGTGAGAGAAGCAACAGGGCGCTGTCACGGCGTGGGAAGTCAGTCAGTGTCTCCCAGCTACTGACGTGTCATCATTCACAAAGTACTCTTAACTACATGAAAAGATCAAAACGAAAGTCTCTGTTTTCGTAAGGCTCTGACCTCAATTTCTGCTTGGGAAACTGCACAGAGAACATTTTACTTCTCACTTTCTATCATGTATAGGAAATCGTTATCAGTGAAAATGAAAGAAAAAAGAGATTTACAAAGCAAAGCAATAAATTAGCTGTGAAAGAGAGAGTTCATCTTACCACACCTTTTTCCAGATTAAGCATTATCACTTCTTGAATCTTTGCCAATAGATACACGGAAAATGGTACATCATCGTGCTTTTATCGTTTCAAGACCCAGGAACTGTTGACTCCCATACTCTCAGTTCCACCTCAATACATCCTGCCTCACACTTCCTTCCTCTCCCTCTGCCTCAGCTGGTCCCTCTCAAACACTTCCTCTCGCTCTCGGGTCCCAGATGGCCCTACAGGAGGGCTCTAAGATCAATATTCCCATGACCTCCTTGATCTGTCACGAAGCACGGCTGCAAAATCCTCTCTCTCTCTCTGCCATGTGCTTTGCCGTGCTTTACAGCCCCAGCATCCATTTATCTCGCTATCTCTCCTTGTCTAGGAAGCGGCCTCAACCTGCACATCGGTGGTGTGCTCCAGTGAGTTTCAGACCTATGTTGCAGGTCTGTGAACTGGAGAGAAGGGCTGCCTGAAATCGATGTGCAGGACAACCCAAGGAGCCCTCCACTCTGAGAAGGGAGTTAGGTCTGGCAGTGATTGTCAGAGGGGAGACGTTTGCTTCTAACGTGATAGTTACTTGCAGCCTAACTCCCTATGGACTTGTCTTGAGTCTTATGGTGAATGGTAGCACTCAGGGTAAGAAACCAAAAATCTATTTCACCAAGAGTTTCTATTGGGGCACAAACAGCAGTGATTTTGTGCCTATTCAACAGGAAGTAACACCAAGAGGGGAGAAAGGTTCTCTGACACATCAGAACAACCTGAGAACACCGTCTCCTGCAGGACCTGTGGTCTGCAGCAGGTCAGCAAAGGCAGTTCCCATTAGAAGACAGGTCCTGCCATGCCCAGTGTAGTGGCTTTTGGTGGATATGGAGATACTCAGGAAGATGTTGGAGCAAAAAGAGGATGAAAATCGGAGAAGGCTCATGGGAACCGAACACAATATACACAATTCCCCTCGGGAACTCCCGGAAACAGTGGGGAAGACACGCAGTCACCTTCACAGAGGTCTAAAGTCCAGGGAAGAAAGGCCAGTAAAACGTGTGTTTCAGCTGTCATAAGCATGATTTTCATCCTGTACAGTTAATATACTTGGGAACCAAAATTCTCTTGGTTATGGAAAGGTATACACAAGTAAATTTCAGGACCTAGCCCCGTGGCCGAGTGGTTAAGTTCGCCCGCTCCACTTCAGCGGCCCAGGGTTTCGCCGGTTCGGATCCTGAGCGCAGACATGGCACCACTCATCAAGCCATGCTGAGGCGGGGTCCCACATGCCACACAACTAGAAGGACCCACAACTAAAAATACACAACCATGTCCCGGGGGGCTTTGGGAAGAAAAAGGAAAAAAATAAGTAAAATCTTAAAAAAAAAAAAGAAGTAAATTTCATTATACTTGGATTTTAAGTAAGGCGAATTTGCAATTCCAGAGACCTTTCTCTGTGCCAGTTTCCATACACAGCAAACTAGAAGGGAGCAACAGTATCAGGCAGAGGATACTCTTTAGAGTGATAAGTAAAGACCAAATGTCCTTTAAAAATGGATATCTACTTCATTTTAGGTAAGTACTCTCAGATTTGCATTTGTGGCTAAGTAGTTATAAATCTATATATTTCCTATCTGATTGATATCTACTGGATCTCTTTCTGCCTTAAGTTCTCATTAGCAACCCAAAATTTCATAAGGTTTTTAGCATGGAACTTTCCATGAAGATTTAGAGCCATTTGTATTTGAATATTCATGCTCTCTACCCCATCTGAAATGAGAAAGGATGGCAACATAAATATTGTATATGCAATCCCAATCTCTGAGGATATGGGGATCTGTTTTATTTTGTCTTAAAAAGATTAATATTTTATTAAAATCTGCCACTTTATTCGTTAGAAAAACAATATAGATTGATCACTGAGAAATAATCTGAAAATTCTGTAGCGCTATTTATCACACAGCCACATGGTTTTGCTGGAAAATAAAGGTAACAGCACACTTAAAGGTCATCCCCATTGCACCTCCTTATCTTACAAGTGAATGAGCAGGCCTTACAGTTCCCCACTGACAGATGCAGTGCTAGACTCCTAGCCTCCTAACGGGCAGGCCAGCGATTTTCCTACCCTTCTAGAAAACTGAGTCTTCAGGCTTCCCCACCATCAGTTCCTAGGATGACACTTCAATTGTCTTTCCCAGGGCTCTGAGAAGAAGCCAGCTTCTCCTCAGCTCCTACCTCCTCTTCACTCTCCTGCCCAATCTTAAGCACTGCCTTAAGGCGAATTCTCTTCTTAGCTATTGAGGAGAAACTAGGAACTGTTCTATCCAAAAATGCCAGAAAGAGAAGCAGAAACTACAACCCATGATGAGAACTGGGTGCTCATTTTTTCCCATAGTTCCTGTCCCCGTTTGAGGTTTTACCTCAAATACTTCTTCAGAGGAAGTATATTTTCTCCATGCAACCTGGAAGGAAGAATTCTTAACACCATCTAGACTTCGCCACCTCCTGCCTACTCCAGTCTCTTTATGGTTATTGAGTAAAGTGGGCCACACATCATTGAATAAGGAATTGCCTCTGGGTTCAGACTTCTTCTTTCTCCACTCAGAAAAACGGACCTTTTTCACCTGCACTGTATCCTATTATGGCATGGATAAGCAAATGTCTAAAAAAAAGAAAGAAAAGAAAAGAAAGCTCTGAAGACATGTAGTAAATAGGAAAGATTTTCAATACATTAACATTGAAGACGAAGAAAACTTTGATTTTTCCTACTCCTCCTCTTTACGCTCACTACCTAATTTCTAGGAAAATGACAAGTGCCTGATTTCATCATCATTGGCTATGAAGAGGGAAATTAGAGCAGCACAATGTAAGGCGGCTAATAACACGATAGCAGTGAGAGAAGACAAGGGGATGAATTATGACAAGGCCCCCCTCCCTGCACCTGGTGAGTGAGTGCTCAAATGGGAAACCCCATATCAAATTCCGAGTTCCAATGGGTTGTGTCACACAGAGTGCCAGGAGCGCTTGCAGACTTAAGAAGACTTCTGTTGCCTTCCTTTTCAATCTCCAACAGGAGGGAAAGAAGACACTGCCAGAGAGTGCCTGGGCATCTCCGAGTTGGTGTAAGGAGATAGGAGAGTCACCAGATGATTTGTTACTATGGCTGAACTTCCCACCAAGACCAGTTTTGCAGGTGGCATTTCTAAAACAGCAAGCACGGAGGCTGGCTGAGAGTCCAAGCTCAATTCTTGTTCAAGCAGACACGATCCTCAGTGTTGTCCACCGAACACAGTGAGATTTCACAGTGCCCAGACGTTAACAAATTTTTTTGCACAAACCTCTAATTTTTGACATTTTCCACTCCCCCTCCAATTTTAAATATGTGAACGCTATTTTTATTCCTTCTCCAGTTTATTTGGTTCTTAAAATTGATGCTTAAAATAATTTCCTCATTAATGGAAGAAAAAAATAAAAAGGAAGAAACTCTCAGATGAATACTGCCTAGCTAGACTGAGTCACATGGAGTTATGAGAGCTCCACGCTGCAGGACACTTTTAAGCATAATTCGAAGGCTACATAGATGCAGGATTTGTTAGGTCTGTGATCTGTGACTCATGGCCATGCCCTGGCAGAGATATGAAGACGACACTTTTAGCGGGGTATTCCCGGAAAGCAATGGACAACAGGAGATGGAGTGTCTGTCTGTGGCTCACAGCACCGGGAGAGGTGGAAGGGACCTTCAGAGGTCGGACAAGGGAGGCGCCCAGGCAACTCAGTGGATTTGTAGGTCCTCACTGCTAGACTCTCCCTGTCCATCATCACTTTACCTTTGGTTTTCGGCCACTTCCCTAACGCAGCCTGTCCTGCCAACAGGGAGTGGAGGATACCCCAGGCTCCCACACACACACTGACGAGTAGAAGTCAAGAGTTGTTAGGTTTCAGTCAGGCCACTGAAGTCTCAATGGAAAGGTTTTGTTTTTGGGTTTTTTGTTTGTTTGTTTGTTTGTTTGCTGCTCAGTAACACATTCATACCAACTGAAAAGGAAGCAGACAAGTTCAGTACAAGTTCAGCTTCCACCCCACCTCTTCCCGCGGCAGTGGTTTAAGACGGGCTGCAGGACCTAAACTTAGTTTCGCATTACACCCACACACGCTTCAGCTCGATCGTAAAACGAGGTCAGCACACAGCCTATAAAACATGAGCTACAAATCAGAGTTCTGGTGCGTGTGTTGCCAGGAGATCTGATCACTGGCACATCCTACCTCTCGGTATTGCAGTCTTTGGCTCGTCTCCGCTGGCTGCCCCCGATGGCCGGAGGAGGGGAGTGCAGGCCAGGCCCTTGGACATCACTGCAGAGGACACTCATCACATTCTCAGTGACAAACAGTCTGAAGTGACAGCAAAAGCAGATGGGAGTCATAGTTTTAGTCATTTCCCATATTTCTCCATTTTTTACAAGCCAAGAAGTCTGCTGATGGTATTTGAAATGAGATTTCAGTGACCGGCGGGGATGTCATTCCAGCAGTAGCGATGAAACGGGGGCGATCGGGGCCAGCTGGAGGTGGCAAATGTCAGACTGGATCAATGGTCAAGTCATACACGTGATAAATAGAAATGGCAGCTGAGAACAAGGAAGACTGTAGATGTTTGTATTTGATGAGACCACACCAGCTTTTCAAAGGTTCCTGAGGCAAAAAAGGATTTCCATGGCCAAATAAATTTGAGAAAAACTGGGTTAAACAAAGACTGATTTCTTTGCACAGGTTTTCTTAGAGCCTTTAGTATGCTATTACGCATTGCAAATCTCCAAAAAGCAATTTCACCGGAAACTCTTATATTATGGAATTTATTAATATCCCATGGGACATGTGCCCCATTCAATAAATGCTAGACTAAACAATATCTATATTTGCATGGTTTGTATTCCATGTGAGCATTTAAGAAAATAATTATTGGGGGCTGGCCCCATGGCTGAGTGGTTAAGGTTTCACGTGCTCTGTTTTGGCTGCCTGGTTTGGGGGTTTGGATCTCAGGCATAGACCTACTCCACTGTGCCAGGCTGTGGAGGCACCGTGCCCACATACAAAATAGAGGGAGGTTGGCACAGATGTTATCTCAGGGCTAATCTTCCTCACAAAAAAAAAAAAAGAAAGAAAGAAAATAATATTTTCTTAGTTCCATTATTTTAGGTTCTACTCTTTACTCAGGTAACGATAGTGCTAAAGAACAAAACAGATGACATTAGAAAAACTGATCCAAAAACGAGAAACAATATGAAGCAGCTAAACAGATATAGTAATCTACCAGAAAACCATCATCTAAATAAAGCCAATGCTTCCAAAAGCAGAAAGTAATTTCTGGAAAGTACTGAACGTGGTTGAATAAAGATTTGTGGATGCAAAAGAACCTAAGATAAATTGCTTATGAGATTTTTATTTGTTTAATCAACTTATAGGTAGTTTCAGAACAATTATGTGGTTGATAGAAGGTTATAAATGGGAATGTGATTACTTTACTATGCCTAATAATAGCTACGTCCTCATTAGCTCACGGATCAAGAAGCTCACTTCCTTTAAATAGTCACTGATGTCTCATTTCAAGTATCAGCAGGCACGGTCTTTGGACTTATTTTTTTTCATATAACAATATGGGAAGCAGACCACCCCGAGATGAAAAAGAACAAGAGGCCCATGAACGCACTGTGTGATGCGCTGTTGAAAACTTGAAATCTACAAAAGGAAAGAGGAATAAAATAGCAAACTTTAATTGATAATAAGTTGTTCTCTTGCAAAGGAATAGACAATGCTTTTAATCTTCTAAACAAAGAAATATTTTCAGCAACGTAGACCTGGATATTTTTCAGAAGTTTTTTGCTATTTAGTGTATGTTGCAAATTGAGATAGATAAGCCCTTAATGTAAGCATTATTATATTAAATATTTATTTAAGCTGTTAAATTTTAATTAGGCAAATTCGTTTCATCTTTTACGTATAAATATACTTACGTATTTAGTTACTACTACAATGGTGTGAGATTGGGGGTAGAGAGGAAACAGGAATGGCTGGCTGTGAACTTTTGCTGTTGTTATCAAAAGCAAATTCCTACGAATTTTTTAACTCATTCCAAAGTATCTTAGAACATGGGAGCCTGGCTATCTCCCTTACCTGGTTATTTTAATTAATGTGAATGTTAATTCTTGCATGTTTATTTTCTCATATGAACTTT